TAATAAGGATGATATCCATTTAATCATGGTATCAAGATGGGTGCCCTTTGGTAAGGCTTATTTCTTTTTTTATAGGCTTATTTCTCTATTACATAATCTTCAGGAGTTCACACAAATGAGAGTTATGTGCATTCCAACAAATCCTGAATTGAAATTCTTTTCTTTCTAGTGTTATATGTCTGTAGGATATTCTGCTCTGCATTTCCAAGGCTCCCCTCCCACCCTCTCTCTCATTTCAAAATTTCATGGAACTCTGCCTTGTACAGCTTTAGAACTTCATATGGTAAAGAAAAAGTTGAATGTAAGACTCAAGTTTTCAATTTGCTCCTTCTTGCTGAGACTCAGTCCCTCAAGGCTTTATTTTTTCCCTCCTACCTCCATACTGCTCTATTTCTGCCTTCTGAAAGTGGCTCTCTGAGGGGATGCTTGGCTGCTAGTTTGTATCCAAACTGATAAATGTCCAAAGCACAAGACAGCTATGGATTATTAGGGTATCTCCCCACAGTATCCTTGTTCCCAGAATCTTGTGCCTTATGGTGCTCTTATCAGCTCTTTGAAGCTTCTTTAAAGATTCCTTGTTTGTTTTTGTGTTTTTAAAATCTATGTTTATCAGCTGTTTTGGGCAAGATTCATAATCAGTTAAAAGCATCTTCATCATTGTTTAAAAGTAGAAGCCACAAAAGAAACTTTAAAGCTAATCAAGTTCAAAGGTCAGGAATTAGACCCAAAACTGTATTACTTCTAGAAGAAAACACATTCAAACTCCAGCATATAGGCACAAAGACTTTCTCAATAGGACCCCCAAAATTCAGGAAATAATACTAAGAGTTAATAAGTGTGGTGGCATCAAATTAAAGAGCTTCTGCAAGGCAAAGCAATTAGGAATGTGAAGAAAGAACCTAAAAAATGGAAAAAAAATCTTAGCTATTCTTTTGACAGATGATTAATATCTAGAATATATAAAGAACTCAAAAATCTTTAAAAAAATTTTTTTACTAATTAATTAATTTATTTAAATTAGGTATGTATGACAGCAGAATGCATTTTGATTAATTGTACACAATTGCAGCACAACTTTTCATTTCTCTGGTTGTACATGATGTAGTGCTGCATCATATGTGCAGTCATACATGTACCTATGGTAATGATGTCCATCTCATTCCACCATCTTTCCTGCCCCCTCCCCCCTTTCCACTCCTTCCTCCCCTTTGCCCTATCAAAGTTCCTCCATTTTCCCCAAGCCCCCCATTATGGATCAGCATCCACTTACCAGAGAGAACATTCAGCCTYTGTTTTGGGGGGATTGGCTTATTTCTCTTAGCATAATATTCTCCAGCTCCGTCCATTTACTTGCAAATGCCATAATTTTATTCTCTTTTAATGCTGAGTAATAATCCATTGTGTGTATATTCCACAGTTTCTTTATCCATTCATCTATTGAAGGGCTTCTAGGTTGCTTTCACAGTCTACCAATTATGAATTAAGCTGCTATAAAAATTCATGTGGCTGCGTTACTATAGTATGCTGATTTTAAGCCCTTTCGGTATAGACCACTAGGAATGTATGAACGTGCCTTTTCCTCACATCCTTGCCAACATTTATTGTTGTCTGTATTCTTTTTTTATTATTTTTTTATTTATGTATGACAATGGGAATGCATTACAATTCTTATTACACAAATAGAGCACAATTTTTCATATCTCTGGTTGTATACAAAGTATATTCACATCAATTTGTGTCTTTGTACTTGTACTTTGGATAATAATGTCCCTCACATTCCACCATCATTTCTGATCCCATGCCCCTCTTCCTTCCCCTCCCACCCCTCTGCTCTATCAAGAGTTGGTCTATTCCTCCCATGCTCCCCCTCCCTACTCCACTATGAATCTATAAGTTTTATGTATTATGGACATGCAAAAAGTTTTACAAATTTAATCTTCAGCTTTATGAGTTGAAGATAACTATATATTTATGTTTTGTTTTGTTTTTTCCTGTGCTGAGGATTGAACCAAGAGATTCTTTGTATAATGGGCAAACACTTTGCCACTGAGCTACACCCCGCAGCCCAACTAAATACCCATAAAAAAAAAATGTGTGTGTGTGTGTGTATGAGTGTGTGTGTGAGTGATATACATAGACCATATACAAATACAATCTACTGCCTTCAAAAATTTCTTTCTATCCTATTTAAGAACCTTTATCCTCCTCCTCTGATGCATCTGATGATTGCTATCATTTTGTTGTTGTTGTTGAAAGGCTTAAAGCTAGGGCTTAAACTTCTCTCCCTTTCTTTCTCTTTCCTCTTCTTTCTCTTAGTTCTAGGATTGATGAGCAATAAACAATTTTTCCCTTTTTGCAAACACTCTTTCATGTATTGGTAATGGCCTAATACTTCATTGAAATCAGCCCAATTTTAATTTGTAGTTAATTTGTGCTTTTTTTCTTGTTTCTAACTTGAACAAACTGATGGTTAGTAAAGACGAATTGGCAATCAAATGTGATGTATTAAGATCTATAAATGAGATAAGATCTGTGAATTTTCTATGACTATTACATAGGTATATACAAGACATATTTTGTCAAAATTTAAATGGGAAAATGTATGTAATGGTGTTAGTATGGCATCTTATACTTGGAAGACCTTGGTAATAATTTAACTTTGTGAGATTAGAAAAAAATGTTTCTTCTTCTGTGAAGTGTCTGTTCAGTTTCTTAGCTTATACATTGCTGGTRGGACTACAAATTGGTGCAACCACTATGGAAAGCAATATGGAGATTCCTCTGAAAATTGGAAATAGAACTACCATTTGACCCAGCTATCTCACTACTTGGTTTATACCCAAAGGACTTAAAATCAGCATACGATAGTGATGCAGCCACATTAATGCTTATAGCAGCTCAATTAACAGTAGCTAGACTATGATAGCAACTTAGGTATCCCTAAATAGATGAATGGACAAAGAAAATGTGGTATATATACTCAATGGAATATTACTCAGCTTTAAAGAAGAGTAAAATTATCGCATTTGCCAAGAAATGGTTGGAGTTGGAAAATACCATGCCAAGCAAAATAAACCCATCCCACAAAACCAAAGGTCAATTTTTTTCTCTAATATGCAGATGCTAATTCACATTAAGGCAGGGGGCACTAGGGAAGAATAGCATTATCTTAGATTAGGTAGAGGGAAGTGATGGGAGTGGGGGGAGGGGATATGGGGATAGGAAAGATAGTAGAATGGAACAGACATTATTGCTGTATGTATATATGTGATTACATGACCAATATGATTCTGCAATATTTACACTCAGAAAAATGAGAAATTATATCCCATCTATGTAGGATATATCAGAGTGCATAAATGCATTCTACTTTCATGTATAACTAATTAAAACAAAAATAAAAATGTTTCTTATAGGAAGGAAAGGATAGGAAGTATCCAGACAAAGGTGTGTGTGGTAAATAGGAAAAGTTAACTAGCATAGATAAAGCTTAGAGAAATCAAATAAACATTGATATGACTAAAGCATAAAATGTACAAGGGAGAGTAACAGGAGGTGAGGCCCAAGAGCCAAGAATGGGATAGATCGTGTAGGGCCTGATAGTTAGAACTTTATCCTAAGAACAAAAGTCATTGAAGAGTTTCAAGCAGAAATATGTCCTGGTTATGTTTTTTTTTAAAAAAAAGTTTTTGTAGTTGTAGATGGACATAATGCCTTTATTTTATTTGTTAATTTTTATGTGGTGCTGAGGATCGAAGCCAGCGCCTCACACATGCTAGGCAAGCACTTTGCCACTGAGCTACAGTCCCAACCCTGTCCTTATTAGGTTTTATACACATTTGGGGGCTTTATACGGAGAACAGTTCAGACAGAGCCAATGGTGAATACTAGGAGAGCAGATAATAGACTTTTGAAGGAATGTGGGCAAGAAATAAGATGAGATGAATAGATGAATTTGATAATGCATGACTCAATCCTTATACAATCTTTATAACTTTGTGACTGAATGTATGTTGGGAGTAAAGCACAGTCTAGAGTTAAGGAGAAGGCCCAGGTTATGGCTAGGAACCTGGTGTTATCACTCACTTATATGGGGAACAAAGAAGATATCATGGTAAATTTCATTTCAATGTTTGGAAGATATAATGGTAAGTTGTGTTTTGTCCATGTGAATTACTTTTGGTAATTATGACACTCGAGAGAATGTCTCTTCTGCTCCTTTATGCCTGTTTGTCTACAGGCTACCACTGTGATGAAAGGTTTTGCTTTCGGGAGATAGGAAATACTACATAAACATAGAAATTGATTCTTTTTTATATCCTTCTTTGAGTTCTCTACATTTTTCTTTATATTAGATATATTCTAATTTTATGATTTACAAGCCATAGTTGTCAAAAAGAATTCAGTCTACTTTTTTTTTTCTAACCCAATGAACTCAGTATGGTTGTCAACTTCTTAGATGGGCAAAATGGTATCAATCCCTGGTATTCGTACTCTTCGGTACTCTGCCCACCTTGAGTGTGGGCTGAACTTTTTGACTCACTTCTAAGGAATAGAATACAACAGAACTGATGTGATGGCACTTCTGAGTTAGGTGATACCAGGACCTTGCCTTCTGGTTTAGATGCTGTGTCTCATGCTCTCTCTTGGACGTCTCACTGTAGAGAAGAGTAATCGCAATGTCATAAGGTAACCCCGTGGAGAGCAGGCATGGCAGAGATCTGAGGCCTGCCAATAGCCACATGACAGCTTGACAGTGGATTCCCTTCTAATTGACCCTTGAGATAAATGCAGCCAAATGTTTGTTTTTCTTGGCCACTAAATTTTGGATTAACTTATTATGCAGCAATAATAGTGAATAATCTTGTCTTGCTAAGACAGGGCTATTGAGTTGAGTCATGGAAAAAAGTGAAGTATAGGAATGAGAAACTTGAGGTTGAGACTGTAAGGTATTTTATTTATTGAAGAGTTAAAATAATACATTAATAAAACTCATCGGATAGAAAAATAATACTGGAACGTTTCTGAAGGTGATTATCAGCTAACCTACCAGAGATACTAGTACTGCTGAGTTTCTCCATGGCTGTGTGACTCAAAGGCTAAGAGACTGGCTGAAGTAAAAATATGAATCACTGTGCATCTTTTTTTTTTTACTGGAAAGCCTTAAAATAAATCAACAAGGCATTTTTGAATAAGAAAATGAAATGAAACTTTTGCCTTTGAAGAGAGTACTTTGTCTTTCTTATAGCCAAGGCCCCTGGTCAAAAGTTACATTGTGATAGACAATAATCTAGTGAGCCTGACTCCAGAACTCCCTTCAGTCTGTCTCTCAGTCTGTGACTTTGTAGAGCGGATGGCATAACCTAGAGGCCGGGGAGGGATTTGACAATGGGAACATGCAAACATTCAAATCCTGAAACTGCCCTTTGATCTTGAGCCACTAGGAACCACAGATCCTCTTGGCCCCTCATGTCTAAAAAATCACCCGGGTATGTATCACCACCTTGAGGGACATGGCTGTTGCCGTCAGTAGGTGCATGGTTATCTGGGTGTCTGAGATATGAAGCTCCTGGTCTGTACCCTCTTCTCTGGTTGTTTAAGAGAGGGAGCCCAACAGGGAAGAGATGAGAGGAGGACAAAGATGCCAGTCCAGAAGGTGATCGTTTGGGGCTTCATGCTATAAGTGGTTTTGTATTTTCAGAGATGAGACAAGTCTCTTCAGCATAGCTCAGTGGTGGGTCACAGCCCTAAGGCCTGGCTGGTTTTGTCAATCTGGCAGTTCAGGGTTAATGCAAAGGACATCCCCAGGACCTGAGAAGAGAGTGGGGAAAGTGGGAGACCTTCGTAAGAGAAGCCATTTCCACCACAGAAAAAAAGAGTCTATCAATGACAGCTACCCCTCTTCCCTCGACCCTTCTCAATTCCCTCTCGGGAGCTCTTTCTTTTAGCTTAAGAATACAAGTGGGCAGAGGAATGGGGACAATGATGACGAGGCACTAAATTATAAAGAATTGGGACATCTTCATACCCTACTGCTGGTGAACATCATGCAGTGAGTCATCTCTACCCACGCCCTATGACTTTTTGGTTTCCGGGCAGAGAAAAGTCATTTTTCTCTGAGCTTCTTTATTATGTCTTAAATAGTCTGTCATATACCCAATAGTTCGGTAGAAAAATGTGAAACGTATCACACAAAACCAAAAATGACACCCCCCCCAATTCACCCTTCATTGGTCAAACTAAGCCTAGAAACAAAGAGGAAAATGATTATGATTTTCATCAAGTGTCTTAGCATACAAGGCCAATTTATCAGATAAATTTCTTTTATTGATCAGTCTTTTCCACGCCAGCTGAGTTAGGGAGCAAAGTAGTGTTTCTACTTGGCAGTTTTCAATGACTGTGAATCATTCATATCTCGAAGGGACCCGTTGAAAGATAGATGTTTTATGGCATACATTCTGTATGCCTTAAATCCAATCAATAATAACATCATTTGCTACTTGACTAGGGAAATTTATATTCTAATTAAAATAGTTAGCATTTATTGTACATAGACTGTGTACCCAGTACTGTTCTAAAACTTTATGTGACTTAACTCATTTAATCCTCAAAGTTATTCCGGGATTAAGTTCTTACCTGAATCACACATACACAGATGGTAATGATTCCGATATACAAGAAATTGGAGTGAAACCACAGTTGTGCTTTTGTATAGCAACCCTAGAAAAAAAAATTACAGGTACAAATAATACTATTTTATAATTCAAATTTATCAGGAGGATTATATGGGAAAATAGTTTGTGTTTTGCCTTATGACATCAAAGAGAATTAGGTAATATATTTTTATTTTCTTTGCATGGATAAAGAAACATGCAAAATGTAAAGAGTATTAAAGTACATATTTTTCTGTTGGCATTATCATTACAGTGGCACCTAATGTAGGAGTCCTAGGTTCTTACCCACTGAGTTAAACTAGCTTCCAAGAGGAGAGTCAGAAGTAAATGTCTTCATGTTCTTTGAACACTCAGTGCTGATTTAAGATCAACAAACGGGGATATAGATTATGTAATCCTAAGATTAGTTTGCATTTTAATTTCTGCTTCAACAACCAATAAATCTATCATGGCCCTACCAAGCTCCAGAGTGTTGGTTGGTAAGTACTCTACTTTTTCCTCCACAGACCTAAAAAGTTTTGTAGATCTCCAAACAACCTCAGGAGTAGGTAATGTGGAGTGAGGACAAGATTCTAGGAAATTGGTGTAGTTAGAGAATGACTTTGGCTTCTTCTCTGAGCATATTCTGGAGGTCCAAATTAAGAGGAGGTTTTTAGCAATTCCATGGACTCTTTCTCTCAACTCATCATTCCTTCACTTTTCATTCATTTCACTAAGGGGCCAGGTCCTGCCATCTCCAAGGAAGGAATAGAGAAACAGGTGAAGGGACTAGTTCTTCTACCTCAATCCTATACATTTTACTTTCAACCTTATGGAGGCATACCTCTTGCTCGAGAAATATCTCAACAACCCTCTGCTACTTTCACACAAACTCTCACTAGTTATACAGTTCAGTGTAGCAAGATTTTTCACAGTGTCTCTAGTTAATAAGCTTAATCCCCAACCCTTTTTTTCCTCTTATTACCTGGCGTTGTCATCTGCTCTATCCTTTATTCTAAGTTCCTTAATTTCCTGGTGGAAGTTTCAGGTCATTTATAACTGCAGTCCCCMAGGTAATTAAGAGTTTAAACAAAGAAGCCAATTAACAGGAAAGTTGCTAGCAAAATTACCTGAATTTGTTGACCTTGGGGACAAGATGCTGGTGGGCCATGGATCCAATCATTCGTGCCATTTACACCACAGCAATGCAGCTAAAAACCAAACCCCCCAAAAGGTATGGTTAGAAAGCCAATAGGAGGAAGACTGGACATTAGAGGAAAYGGTGGGCCATTCAGATCTGGCTCAATAGCAGAAAGTCCAGAATTTGTCTATGACTCCTTGGAACAAAATACTCTCAAACCTGTTATATCATTTTAGTCACATAAGACCCCCATGAAATAGAAAGGGTATGTTTAATTTATTTGCATTCTAGAGATCAAGAACTCCATGCCCAGGAGACTCTATAATGGCGGGACCAGACTGATCACATCTTGACCCACTAGCCAGTCTTTACATCACAGAAAGCAGGACAATTGGACATTAGGCACCTGCTTACATCATGCAGAGGAAAGTACTGGCTGTGATAGTCTTTCCATGACATAGTACCTCATCCAGCTTCGAGATTCACAGGTCTTATGGGAAACAAAGACTCCCTGCCACCCAACTACCTTGAGGAAACAAGCTAGAAAATGAGGAACTCTAAGGAACAAAAAATTTAATTTCTTTTCGTAGCACAMCATGTGAACAAGAAAGGATACTATTTTCAAAGAAAATTAGACAATAGCATCCACCTGTAACATATGGACCTGGTTTAGATCTCAATTTGAATAAATCAATTAGAATTTCTTTAAAAAAATAGGATAATCTGATTATAGACTATTTATTAATTATATTTAATGAGTGAAATGATATGACATCTAGTACTTGTTTTAAAATGTTCTGGCAGAGAAGTATAGGGGATTAGTTGAGAAGACACTGAAAAACAATGTTATGGACCCAGAGATGCATTTTGCTAATATTATCTTTACCTTTGTATGATCTCTGAAAATTATATGCTAAAAAGAGTTTCAAACTAAATTGAAAAAAAAGCAAAGAATTGAGGATCTAGAGAGGTTACAGGAAAATACAAAGGCCACCCAGTTCTGGTCTCTATGCTCTAATTCCTGTGTCATATCTTCTACACTACATAGAGCCAGCATGTGGTCATAGGAGTGTTGTTTGAGGCGCAGACTATGCCTGCATAAGCCTTCCTAAATTTTCCTGTCCCTCAACATACCAAGGCAGGAATACAGAGTTAATTTATGTTTGTGGATGGGCTGGGAATATGAGGAATGGTATCCTGGGAAGTTAGGTAACCAGCCTAATTTGGGTGCCTAGGGAATTCGACATAGATTTCTTGTGTTTACACAATTGCTGTTTTCAGCAAAATATTGAAAAATAGCTAAATTAATTCAATACAGTGTATTTGCATATTCTCCCCATTCTCTTAGGGCTTAAACAATGATCCTGAGTTTGGACAGTAAAGGATGAAAGAGATGGTAGATGACTTGGTACCCATCAGACCTGTTCCTGTGCTCCCTGGTTTGTGATAGCCAGGCATTATTCTGGACCTCAGGGATAAGGATCTTAGATTCTGAAACTTCCAGGAAAGGAAAGCTAGGACCAAGGCTGAAAAAAAAAATGAAGTCTGGGTTGACCTGAGGAGGATTCCTTGTGTACTCACAAATGACTGGATGGAGTCCCACGCTGCCCTGGTGCTGTTGTCTGAATAGTAACGTTGGAAGCTTTCGTTCAGGCCGTCAGCCACATAGTTATGCAGCTGGGAACAGCACGTTCCAGAAAAGGAGACATTGTGAAAAACAGGTGAATTCCAGGAATATGAGATTTCTAGTATAGCTAGTGGATCCACTTATTCCTCCCTCCCAAGTGGTCTCCTCAGGACTAGAGAAGTGATGGGAGGAAATGTATATATAGGAAAAAATACTAATGGTGAGAAGGCTTTAAAGAAAAAAGAATACATTGGACTTTTGTCCTTCTARCTCTGTGGTTTTATGAAGGAGGAAAAGCGGTGATTATAGCAAKGACTACACTGAGACATATTTTCTCTGCTGTAAAATACACAGAGGAAAGAAAGCCAGAGGGAGAAAAAAACCCATTTTGTTCTTTCCAGTAATCATTCATGGAWCTTCTCAAAATACAATCTCCTTCATATTTTTTCTATCCCAAATTACCATTAATCTCTTTCCCCCAACCTTCCATTTCATTTCCATCTCTATTGTAGGACTGACTGTGTGCCAACTTCTTCTCCATGGCACACCCCCCACTTTCAACAGTGAGACAAGAAGTCACGTTCTTTATAGCTTACCTTTTGTTCGTACAGGAAGAGCAGAATGGCCAAGATCACTTCAGCAAGGAGGATAATCAGCAGAAGAACAAAGAACTGGGACAAAGCAGGCACATGCTTACAACACTGATCCCAGTTTTTGACCCACCCTTTGCCACCCTAGAAGCATCCAGGCAGGTGTCTCTGCACACCTGCAGGATATTCCTCTTCTCCAACACCTCAGATCTCCAAGCCTTCTATTGCTTTGTGAGGAATATATGTTCTTTTCCTACACCTGGGACTCTTGAGGGTCAGATCAACTGCCTTCTATCTTTGTTCTCTGCTATCCCTTGTGCCTACTAGAATACCATGCACATAGTACATAGTCAACATCTTCTCTTGAATAAAGGAAGCAATTTAAGTATTAGTCTATTTCACACTAGAGAAATGTGAAGCTCTTTTTTTTTTCATAATGCTTGAAGGCAAAACTTAAGCCTGAAAGGGCTCCTCAGTATGGTTACCAGATGGGGGGCCAACTGTAAAGCTTCACATTCTCTTAGGGCTTAAACATCTCTCACATTARACCTCATGGCTGTAGCCAAGATCCTCACCTAACCTGGGCCACTCTCTCTATGGTGTATGTTGTGCAGGTAAGAGTTAAAGAAGCATCTTCTGCTCTTTGAGGAGGGCCACCATTCTCAGATCATTTTTCCATCAGTTAATGACTGTAAGTCAGGTCCCGAAGTACATTCCAACATGAGAATTTAAGCAGATGGAGGACACTTGATTTCAACCAGATATGAAGCTAAATTTAAATGTTATGAAGGGGAATTAGAATGAAAAGGGTCATTATTAACAATGTAAAATGGATGCCAAGGAAGATCGTAATAATGCCCTTGGGATCCCAGTCAGAAACAAAACACTGTGGGTCTAAACAGACCTGGCTGACCTGAGGTGCTAACCCCATAATTCCCCTGTATCAATAGGTGATCTATCAAGAAACATATTATTTGGGACCTGAGGCATCATCCCCCCAGACTTAGGGCACCACATCTGCTACAAGGACTCACCGACATAAGCAGGCACTTATTCTCCTTGATGGAGCCCATGCAGCCCAAGAAGGCAACCACCATGACAATGGTACCCACGATGATGAGCACATTGCCCAGCGTGAGGAAGGGGAGTTTATGGAAGAGCACTCCAAGGTTGTTGTGGACCAAGAGGTAGGTCCCAAAGCCCAAAATGCAGCAGCCACAGAACTGAAAGGAAAAAAAAAATCCCACATTCTAAGGCAAAATGTGGCTTTTGAGTATTTCCTCATTCATATTCTCACACTCTTGAGATCAGAATCACATGTTTTCTTTTGTCCAATCAAGACTCTCAGGAACAATCTCTTTACCCAGCTTCCTCATGCTCTTAGAAAACAGGAAATCCCCGCTTCCTCATCATGAAATTCCACTCATGTATCTTTCTACTCCATTTCAGATAGCAAAGAAAGGTCACCCCTGTGAGTCACACATTGCCTTCATGGTGTACATGCTCGGATTCATGCTTACGATATCTTATTCCTTGTCTGCTCAATTGCTCATACATCATCTTCCCTTTGCAAACTGACCATGAAGAGCATGTGCCCTGCTGGAGCAAGTTCATCTTGCCAGGTATAAAGCTAGAGAAGTCCAACTTATAAGAATCTTCTCATAGCCAACCCATTCTGTATCTGAAATTCAGTTGCTGAATTTGGTCCAGTGAAATCTCCCCCCAAAAGATGACTTCTCTTTCAATCACCTATTCTTTCAAGGCACTAAAAAAAAAAAAAAAAAAAAAAAAAAAAAAAAGTACTGAATACTTAAATTGCAGTCTGTTTTTCACCTATAGATGGCAGAGACAAATGATACCTCCATTAATAACTGCACTGTTGTTGTTGGTTTTTTTTTTTTTTTCAGTACTGTAGGTTTATAGCGGGAAGAGAAGGACAAATAAAGGAAAAACAAAAAGGTTTGAGATAGGTGTGGATATTTGGTGGCAGGATGGGAAGAAGAGAGCAAATTATTTCTCCTTTGCCCCCTAGGCTTGGTGTGCTGGGCGTGACTCAGGTACAGAGGTTGTAGACTCCTTAGTACAGGAGAGAGAGGGATAGTTTAATTGGGGGGTGTGGAGGTGTGTTAACTCAGCCATGCTCAAAAGAGACACACTTACCCAAAAGAGCAAGTTGAAGAAAAACAAGACATACTTCAACAATTTCAAAGTACTCATGCCCATGCTGGGAAAATCGTGGCCTAAAAAGTAGAAGGAAAAAAAGGATGTGAGTAAGTGACCTGGTTTTGCAAGGTGGAACTGTGGACTCAAAAACACAAATGCTCAGGGTTCAAGGATCACCAGCATCACCTTGGGTTTGAGCTATGACTGTTCTCTGGAAAGTTCCCTCATAGTCTCTGCTCTCTTAGTTTCTGAACCRGGGTTGCCAATTGGCTCATCTTCAATGTTCCAATCCAGCAAGGAATTCTTAATACTGAATTCAGCACTGTAGGAGGAAACAATGGAGCCATTCTTTGAAGAGGATGAGTCACACTGATACAGACCAGATCAGTGTTTTCAATCCATGGGCAGCATTAGTGACTAGTGCCTGGGCACTTGCTTAAGAAGGCAGTTCCCGGGGTAGGGATTAATTGACTGGTCAGTCAGCCACCAGGAATGCCAGAGGCTTGATTATTTGGTTTCATAAATGCCCTGAGATTCATATGCATTTCAAGTTTGGTCTGCAAACCTCTCCATATGAAAATGGGAGGGAACATACCCATGCCTCATTCATTGTTTTATTGCGGAAACATTTACAGTGTTTTGTGTTCTAGATGCTGTGGGAGATGTGACTAAACAGTAGCGGTCGGCTCCTCTAGAAGATGTCAATCTTACAGCAGAGATGAAACAATCCAATAAGTATGCAATAGAGAAGTGAAAAGAGAGACCAGTGTGAACCTGATTTAAAAAAAAATAGAATATAATTTTCTCAGTGAGGACATTAATGCCCAGACACTGGTTCTTGATTCTAGAATCAGAAATTTTTAAATTTTCCCTCAGAGATAACAAATTTTTATAGAGTGACACATGTTTTAAAACCGTGCAGAAGACTTACATAAAACAAAATGTCAATTTATTGGGGTTTTTTTCCTTATTAAAACTGCCTTTTCCAGTGTATGAGTTTCCTGTACCATCCACAGTGCTGTCTCTGCATTGCCAAGGTAACCAAGAATCACATGGACATCATAAATAAGCCATAAATAAGATATTTCTATTACATAGAAGTAGAGTAAATGTCTCTACTGAAAACACCAAATATCCATCTCTATCTCATATCTTTTAATTTTTTCCTTTCTTGCTTTGAACCTCAGGATTATTCCTAAATTTATATCATTACCTTAATCAAGTAGAATAAAATTAATTCAGTTACAAATGCATATGAATATRCTTAGGAGGCTTAAAAATATGTATGGTGATTTACTGTTCAGGTTTTCAGATCAAACTTGAATTCACCTCTCATGTATGCCATCAAACAACTTTGTGTAAGTTGGAAACAAAATTAACATTTCTAATTTCAATTTTTTCCTATGTAAAATGGGGTCAGAACTTATACCTCATGAGGTGATGTGAAGATTATGTGAGGTTATCAGAGAGACCAGCATATGACATGACCAATACACAATAAATGGAACCTATAMTATTTAGTCTTAAAGGACTACTCTGTTATTAGAAGTGGATGATGAATTTATATAAATCCCAGACCTTTATCGGTATCATGCTGACCAAATATCTGATGGGCTTAAACACATTTATGGGTGAATAATCTTATTCTTTTTATCTAGAATATTTTTATTAATTTAATTCTTAGAATGTGACATATAGCAGTCCTCATTCCCAGATTCTTGCAGATCCTTACTGTCACCCTTTGCACAAGATATATCAAGAGATAAAATACATCGTCTCAAAGTGATGAAAGAGAATTTCATGGAGGTAACATTCAAGTTGACACATTCACATGGGTGCATCCCCTTGAGCAACCAAACATAGACTGTCATGATTCTCTATACCCTAGAGTTGCACTGTGGCTCCTGAACACTTGAAATCTGGCTAACTTAAATTAAGATGTGCTTTGTAAGTATAAAATATACACTTAGTACAAAAAGACTAAATTAACTTTATATGTGGCTTGAAATGCTAATATTTGGCACATATTGAGATAACTAAGCTGTACTATTAAAATGAACTTTACCTTTTCCACTTGAATTTTCTTAATGTGAAAATATGAAATCATTTGTGGATAAAATGAGGGAATTATTAAAAATCATCTTTAAAAATGTGGTGAAGAGAAGGATTGACAGAGGATGAGGAATCCAGCTGGARCCTCAATTTTCAAAATATCAGTAAAGAATTTAAAGAACATATTTTTGTTTTTCTAATTTGTAAAAGCTCTAGCATTTTTTTAATGTTTTACAATTTATGAATCTCTTCTTAGACAATATTCCATTCTTTTGGAATTCTCTCAAGAAAGTTTATTGCAGATTGTGTTTTCAAAAAAAAAAAGAAAATATAAAATCACATATTTAAGATGTTTGTCTCTTGTCAAAATTGACTAACATGGACCAGATTTATCCTCTCTCCTGAAAAAAAAATGTACAGATTATAAAATGATGGCTTCCTGTCCCTGTACCTGCTTATGTAGTTTGATCTAGTTCAATAGATATTTAGGTTTTCTACTTTTTTTGTTGCCTATAATTATTTTTACTATTATTACCTATTATAAAGTTTATTGGAGCAGAAGCATTCTGGTATGTGACTCTTTCTGCATCTTTTTTTAAATTTTTATTTATTTTTTTAGTCATACATGACAGTAGAATGCATTTTGATATACAATACATACATGGAATGTACATGCATCAATCATACTGTCTATTCTAGGGACAAAGGCTGTTAAAGATGATAACTTAGAATCAGTGACCCTTGCTTCTTGGTTCAGCTTATTACCAGGAAATCATATAAGCACCACCAAGTTTATGTTTAAGTTCAAGGATACAAGTAACGGATAAGTCTGTGCTTTCACAGAGGCGCACCCAAATTTCATGGCTTCAATGAGTGAAGACAGGCCGGGCACAGAATATCTGACAAGGGTTTTCAGTCCTTTTATTGATGGCTGGTCTAGGGGCCAAGAATATCCCTTAGTCCACCGGCAATATCAAGGTCAAATACATCCACACTTTGTTTGCTACATCATCCAGTCTACCCACAATATCCATGCAGCAGGACTGGACATGCTTGCCACTTGTATTAATAGGAAAATGAATACAGGTGCCATACAGGCGCACAGATAATAAAAAAAATGATGGCTTCCAAGACACTGGATATAAAAAAGTGAAGGACAGTACCATTCAAAGATGGGAAGTAAATGATGTGTGTGTTTGGTTGCCCCAGTATAGTGTATGGACGGTTTTCAGTCCGTAGGTGAGAGAGGGAGATCCTGCAAGATTCCCTGAGGAGACCAGGGCAGCTGAGGTTCCCAGGACAGAGTGATACAGAAGAGAAAGCTGCTCAGAGAATAGACACCAGAGATCTGCAGAGGAGACCTGTATTAACTGCCTATCACTACAGAAACAAATCACCACAAAATCCATGCTTAAACACCACCAATTTGTTCCCGTACAAYTCTGAAAATTGGAATTCTGAATGGAGTCTCTAGCAGGACTGCGGTCCTTCTGAAGTGTTCAGGGAAAGAATCCATTTCTGTGCCTTTGTCAGTTTCTAGAAGTCACCTGCATACCTTGATCCCTTCCTTACATCACTCCAGCCCCTGTTTTTATCGTCACATTTGCTCTTTTCCACTCTTAATATCCTGCTTCTTTCTCATAAGGACCTACTTATCTAGTCAGAGCCCCCTRGATAATCCAGGTCTTGACTCTGTAGTAGAGACCATGTAGCTCGACTCCTAACACTGCTTCAGTTCCATCCAACCAATTTTATAAGTTCATCCCAAAAGAATCGAACATTTTCCCAGGTAACTTAAGCATGYAGAACAAAATGCAACAGGATTTATAAAAACACCAAAATATCCAGTACCCAGCAAGGTAAAATGAACAAAGTCTGGATTTGCTAAAAATACCAGGCATGCCAGAAATATGAAAGTACGACCCATAATGCTGAGATCAATTAATTGGTTAAAGTTGATCCAGATGTGAGATTAGTAGATAATGTCATTAAGCCAGATTTTCAAAAAAAATTACATAGAGGTCTAGAAAATATTTTTTAAAGGCTCAAACCAAACTTCTAAAGATGAAAGTGCGATGTATGAGATGAAAAATATATTGGGTTGGATTAATGAAAATTTGACATCACAAAAGAAAAGATTATGAACTTGAGAACAATAAAAGCATCCCCAGTGAAACAGAAGATATATATATATTTAAGTGAACAGAGAATCATGAGTTGAGAAACCATTTTTAGTGTCATATGTATAATTGGAGTCCCCAAAGGAGGAAAGAGAAAAGAGTAGAGAGAGAAAAATATTTGAAGTAACAATAACTGAAACAAACCCTGAATTTGATGAAAATAATTTACCCACATTACCAGGAAGCTCAATGAATCCCAAGTACAAGAAACAAAGAAATMAACRCCAAGTCACTTTATAATCAAATTGCTGAAAACCCATGATAAAAGTAAAATCTTAAAATGGCCATAGAACAAAAGATATGTTAGGTACACAGGAACAAATATATGGATAAGGGCAGTTCTGGAAAAAAAATGTTAATCCAGAAGACGGTGGCATAATATATTTAAAATACTAAGAGCGAAATGTTTTTGTCTGAGAATTCTTTTTTTTTAATATTTTTTACTTGTAGATGGACACAATAGCTTTATTTTATTTATTTATTTTTATGTGGTGCTGAGGTTCAAACCCAGGGCCTCACATGTGCTAGACAAGTGCTCTGTCACTGAGCTACAACCCCAGCCCCTGCTGAGAATTATATACCAAATAAAAATATATTTCAAAAATAAAAAAGAAGCAAAGACTGTAGCATACATAAATGCTTAAAAAGAAAATGTCGTCACTAGATCCATGCTGCAAGAAATATTAAAGGAAATTCTCCAGGAGGAAGAAAAATGAGACCAGAAGAACAGATCTAYGCAAAGGAATGAAAGCCATTAGAGATCAAAACTGCATGGATAAATATATTTTATCATCATTTAAATATCTTTAAAGGTTACTGGTTGGGTGCAGAGACTGAGGCAGGAG